CCAGACTCTTTCCCAGAGAACAGGAGACGAGTTTCTTTGCAAAGCTGGGGTGGCTGGTGAGCTGTTAGTGAGGGACAAGGAGCAGAGCCCGGTTAAGAAAGGGGACAAAGGGAGCTCAGGCTGCCCACAGCACTGGATCGGGGGCAGCTGCTGCCCCAGGGAGGGGCGCATAGGGGAGGCAGGGCAGGGACACCTGGGCCATTAGCTTGGATACCACACCCGTTGGGGGAAGACCATGGGGAGTCCTGGTAAAGGAGGAAACTCCACCAGGCCCAACTCCAATAGCTTGAAATCTGGAAACTCTGAGGGTCCTGGGATGGCGCCACCTTCTGGTGGAGTCCCAGTGACAGAACTGAAAGTGAACCAACCCCCTTCGTGTACCCATGGGGAGACTGAAGCCAGGGAGGGAAGGGCCCTGCCCAGGGCTACAGGGCCAGGAGATGCTGGCAGAACCTGACTTTAAACCCCCAACCCCCGGCTCCCAGGCCAGTGTCATAAAGTCTCGCAATCACCTAAGAGATTTCTGGGCCCCACCCAGACCCACTGAATCAGAATCTACAGAGCTGAGGAATCTCCAGGACGAGAGAAATGGGGACCACGTCAGGCTTGGGGATCAGAACATACCAGGGAGATGTGCCAGAGCCATGGCGAGGGTTGTTAGATTGAACAAACAACAAAACAAGAGGCCTGGTTAATTTGCATTTCAGACAAACAAATACTTTTTGTATAAGTATATTCCAAATATTGCATGGGACATACTTATGCTAATTCTTAAATTCTATACTAACGCTAATTGGCGTTATGCTAATATTAAATTTTTAGTATAAGTGTATCCCATGAAATGTTGATGATATACTTCTGCGTAAACATTTTTCGTTGTTTATCTGAACTTCAAATTTAACTGGGCGTCCTGTATTACATCTGGCAGCCCTGCACAGGGCCCCAGCACAGGCTGGGGCAGATGTCGGGGGAGGGACTCACTGCAGACAATCGTAGTATTATTCTCGATGCTGTACTCATAATGGTCCACGTAGGTGTGGCAGCCCTGGTCAAAGAGCTTCTGGTAGCAGCAGTCATGGGCATGGCAGCACCTAGGGGCGGGGAGAGGACAACAGGCCCGCATAGCCAGGCTAGGCCCATCTCCTACCAGCAGAGACCCTGCTCATCTGTCCCGTTCCCTCACTGGTCAGACCTTCAGACTGAGGCCCAGAGAGGGGTAGTTACTTCCCTGAGGTCACACAGCCAGGCCAAGCAGGCCAGTGCCCCAGGTTCTTGTCCATGATTATGCCTCTTGGTCTGTGCCCAGGGCTCCAGCTTCCCCCTGGGAGCCCTGGCTGCAGCTTCCGGGAGGGCCAGGGGGTCCAGCAACGTGGTCAGGTGGGAGGGAGGGTTAGGGCTATACACTGACTACATGCAGAGGCCATACCTGGCTGTGCATGGTGCCCAGGAAGAACCAAGGTCTGAAGGCTTGAGTGGGGTGTGGGGATGGGGGACAGGAAGCAAATATGGGGTGGCTGTTCCTCTCCCCTCTGGTAGAGGGAAAACAATTAGTCCCCATGCATTTATTAAGCTCCCGGGGATACCAGACTTGGTGCTGGCTGCTTTTGGGGAGACAGGAGTGGAAGACAAGCCATGACTTCCAGGACTCCCTGTCGGATGGAGGAAGCACACACAGCCCTGACCTTCAGAGCCTGCAATCTGATGGGGGCAGGGGTCACAGGCCTTGCCTTGGTCAAGCACGAGCGTGTGTTTGGGGGAGGTCAAAGGTTCCTTCCTGGCAAGAGTGGGAGTTCAAATGCCTCCAGGCCCGGGACCTTTGAGATGGACAATAGAGTGTGTCCACCATGGTTGGAGAGGACACGGGTCAAAGGTCAGCTCGTCGTCACTAACTCATCAAACAAGCCTCATCGTTTGGGGAAAGGGCCTCTCCCACCTCTCGAAGACAGAGATCAGTCTGACCTCCTCTGCCCCACCCGGTTCTGCCAGCCGCCCTGGCATTCTGGAACCTACCAGTCTACTTCATCCATGGGCAGGCCACGCCCCCCCAGCCCGCAGTAGCAGCCGTAGCCCACGAAGGACAGGATGGCATTTTTCCCCGTGATGGCTTCCACCATGGTCTTCAGGTTGAACAGGCTGCTGTGCGCTGTGGGCAGGACTGCAAGAGAACCAAGGGGTCGCTGTGCGTAGCCTGCCCTGTCCGCCTGGCTGTCCTCCCCGCACCCAGGGCCAGGGGAATGGGGGCGGGCGGCAGGCAGAGCGGGAGGAAGGAAGCCATGTACAGAGTATGCATAGCCCACGTCCTTACATTAAGCCCTGTGGCCCTGAGAAAATAGTAATAGTCACCATCATGCCGAGGACTTCTCAGTGCCTGTCAGGCGCTGTCCTAGGCCCCTTCTGCACATTAACTCATCGAGTGCTCACTGCAGCCTGGTGAAAGGCTATTGTGGTGGAGCTGCCCATTTTACAGATGAGATCGCTGAGGCCCAGAGCATTTAGTAAGTTGCCCAAGAACACATTGAAAAGCGGCAGAGACAGAATTTGGACCCAGGCAGTGAGAACCCAAAGCCCAACTGGTTGGGAAACTGTAAGGGGCTTCGCACATGGACCTGCTCTTCAGGACACTGGGGTTTGATTCTGGGCCCTTCTGGCTTGGCCTGGCTCCTCTGCCCCCAGCGGGGACTCAGCGTCCCAACCACAGTCCTGGGGCTGGTGCATCTCAGGATAAGTCCAGAGACAATTGGGTGCCCTGGTCATTCAATGAAGACGCACACATAAACACACACACACACACACACACACACACACACACACACACACACACTCCTTTCCCTTTGTCAGTGTCTCACAGGAAGCAATAGAGCAATGACCCTTCCTGTACCAGCAAAATCAGCTTCCTGGCACCTGGCAGCCAGCCCACCCCAGTGACAGTCCCTCCTCCCCGCTCCCCTGCCTGCTGGCCTCCTGGCCTGTGCTGCCTCTGCATCTCCTCCTGGCTCACCGCTGAGTCGACACCAGGCCCTCACCTGGGTGATGCACCCCACCCCCCAGCACACACACAGGCAGGAGAGCTGCTCTAGCCCCAATAGATGAGCAAACTAGGGCTCAGAACAGTGAAGGTCTCAGAGCCTGGAGTGGCCGAGCCCAGACGTGAGTCCAGGTGTGTGTGCCCCAGAGCTGTGATGCCACCACCATGCAGGGCCGCTCCTGCCTGTCTCCCCCTCCCTGGGCTCCTCCAGCTGGGCCCAGGGCTAGGTGCCCAGTTCAGCACCCTGTCGCCACTCTCTCCACATTCCCCGCCCTCCTCCACGGCCTGAATAGAAATTGTCCCAGGAGAGGGAGGCACCAAGAATTTCAGAAACTGGAGACTGGACGGAATCCCAAAGGCCGAGACTACTTGCTTTCTGAGACGTGGTTGTCACATCACGAGTGACAGGAAACTCACCATCTCAACATGCCTTAGTGGGACGAGCACAGACAGACCTGGGCCCATAACTACAGCTCCCCGGGGCTCCATTTTCCCATCTGTAAAATGGGAATATTAGTACTGACCTCCTGGGAGTCCCCCGGGGTAGTGCCCTGTTTGGAGCCAGCGTGCACCAGACACTCGCTCCCTGCATGGCCCCCTGCCAACTCCTGGGGCTTGTTAGGCCCCTGGGCGGGATATGCCTGCCCCCTCAGAGAGCCGATGTTGGGAATCCTGCCCCACCAGCGTCTCCCTGTCTATTGGCTCTGGGATTTTCGACATTACAGAGAATAAGGAGCAAACAAGAGAGGACATGGGGAAGAAGTAGGGAGAAGTGACAGATGACTTGAAGAGGATGGTTTAGAGCCATATAGGTGTCTACACTGGGGCCCGGGACAGGGAGAGAGAGGACCCTGCATCCTGTGGGCCTGAGCCTGTCTCTTGAGCTGCACAGAGATTTGGCAGAGGT